CTCTCTCTCTCTCTCTCTCTCTCTCTCTCTCTCCCTCTCCCTCTCTCTCTCTCTCTCTCTCTCTCTCTTTCCCTTTTATTTCTCACGTATTCTCTCTTCTCTCTGAAAATGAGTGGGGTAGATTAGGCGGTCCCTTCTAGCACTGTTTGGTTTCTTTCTCAAGGCTATCTCTTTTACATCACAGGGTGCAAATAAAAGAGAATATGTTGCATCCAGTTACTTAAATGAGAGTAAATCGGATAAACCTGAAAACTCCTAAGGTTAAAAGAAATACACAATGTAGTCTAGGGAGGCCCACTTTGAAGGGTAGGCTTGACTTCTGGCCTTCAAGATAAGCAAGAGTTTTCTAGAAGAATACTAACAACAGCTGGTAATTATATGGCACTTTAAGGTTTAATAAAGCACATTTATTATCTCATTTAATCCTCCCCAAAACCCACTGAATTAGGTACTACAGGCATTATTATTCCCCATTTTACAGATGAGGAAACTGAGGCTCGAGACTAAGTGAGTTGACCTTGGTCACACAGCTAGTAAGTATCTAAGGTGGTATTTGAACCCAAGTCTCTCTTGACATTATCAGGGTTCCAGGGCCCTGGACCCTTTTCAGAGAAGACCCTGGTTTCCTCAAGTCTCCTTGCACATTGTAGATGCTTAACAGTTTTTAATAAATGAATGAATGCATGAAAACACAAATGAATGAATGCATGAATGAATGAAACCTAAGCTGGGGAAATATTAATCAAAGTATTGAATCCAATCATCTTGTCAACACTTGGAGTTGCTCCTGGGATTATTGAAAGCCTTGTTCACAGCTATTTTGAGCTATTGGCATGTGGTGAAAATAGTCCTTCTATTCAGGATGTCTTGTGTTAGGGGACATGAAGTCCCCCAGAAGTCTTGCTTGACTCCTAAGTTTCCAAATAAAGATCAGTGGGGTAGGTTTGGGGCTTGAGGGTTTTATCCTGTGGAGGAGATTCAGACCAGAATTGCTCTGTGCAAAAGTATTTGTGTTGCTTTTCAGGTGCTGCAAGGTTCCTCATTAAGGAGCTCTCCTACCACAACCTCGAACTGGAGAGAAGCCGCCTGGAGGAACTGGGAGTCAAACGCCAATGCGTCTGGCCTTTCATAGTGATCATGGATGACTCCTGTGTCCTGTGGAACATTCACAGTGCCCAGGAACCGTCCAGGTACAGTGAGACTGGGAAATTGAACAACCAACAAGCATTTATTAAGTGCCTGCTGAATTCTGAGCACTGGATTAGGTGTTAGAATTAGACGCACCAAGAGTGGAGTAATCCCCAGAAATACAGAGAATGAGGAGAGAAGCACACATTTTAAGGGAGAGAGGACCATATGTAATCTTTGTACCAAGTTCATACCAATTCCACAATGAACACATGTAGCAAATAGCAAAGAAACCCATTTATCCAAAGTCTAACAAAATAGAAATCAGAGAAGGTCTCCATAGGAGAATCAGACAATACAGAATGAAGGAGCAGACAACTCGGCTTAACTCGGAGAGTATCCTGAATCTCACTGAAGAGGAAAACTCTCCCAAATCTCTAGTGTAGCAGACTGGGAGTAGGGACATGATGGAGACTTCACATTCATCTGATTTCTTCCCAGAGTCTTTTCCTTCAACAGCTTGAAGTGGGGTTGGCCTCTTCCATCTTCTCTCTCAAAGCTGGATTGCTTAAAGAAGGCTGTCACTTGGAGAGTCCTTAAAAGGGGACTGGCTGAGAACTAAAGCTCTCATGTCACCCCAGTTCCGATGCATCCCTCATGTAGGGCAGGGCCTTTTTCTCCACCAGTAAGAGGAAAGTCCCACACCAATGGGCTTTGGGACAGGGGTTATATATACATAAGTATATAAAGAATGAATGCAAAAATATTTAATACAAATCAGCTATTAAAGCTTAAAACTGCACTAAGACTTTTAGGGACCGTGCTCTGCCACGCTGCCAGCATAGGCTCCTTATTAAGGCTAATTGATCCACCTAACTACTTCTGGAACATAAAGGAAAAGAGAATGGGAAAAAAATCTTGAGGGTGTTTATTTTGTATGCTTGTGACAACTTCCCTAAATTCAAAGTCAAGGATATAATAGTTGCCCCTTCAGGTGAGCAGGGCAGGGAGGGAATGTGTCCAATCAGTTACCTTCCCCATTCACCATTTTATCTTTGGGCCATTCTGTGCTGTAGTCATAGGATTGGAAGGCAACTTTGAGCTCATCTAGTGAGGTTCTGAATCCAGGGTCAATGAACTTGTTTGGGCTTTTGAAATATTTTAACAATTGTATTTTAATAAAATTGGTTTCCTTTTTAATTCTATGTATTTTATTTTATGCATTTAAAAACATTATTCTGAGAAGGGATCCATCCATAGGTTTTACCAGTCTGCCAAAGTGGCGGGGAGGGGCAATGACAGAATACAGATTAAGAATCCCTGCTGTATATAGTTCAACCTCTCCATTTCACAGATGAAGAGACTGTGAAACTCAAGGTGTTTTCCCATTCTCCTGCTCCTCTGAAGGGATAAATCTGTCCCTTTTCCCCACCTTCGCCTTCTTGTCATCTTTTTCATTTTCCAGTTGTCATCTCTAGCTAGATCTTACAGTAGGATGTTGAGGGGAGAGGTGTAGATTATCAGCACCTCTTGCCATTTCCCCAGAGGACTGTCCCGGGACATTCTTTGCTTCCTGTTAGCCTTCCCCTGCCACTTCCTTCCTTCCAGCAGGTCCATTCGGTACAACTCAAACCAGACCTCTTACAGTCTCAGGTCTCAGTAAAAATTGATTTTATCAATCAACCAACAAGAATTTATTAAATACTGAGTTCCTTGTGGGGAGGCACTGTCTTTTGCCTCTTTTTTGTATCACCAGTGCTTAGCACAGTGCCTGGCATATAGTAGGTGCTTCATAAATGCTTATTGATTATTGGTTGATTGACTACTATGTGCCAGGCACTGTGCTAAGCCTGGGAGATACAAAGAGGTGAAATGGTCTCTGCCCTCAAGAAGTTTACATTCTGACAAGGGAGGGAAAAAATATCTATATATGTATATATAGATATATATGTATGCATACACACACATGTACACACACACACAGATGCATACATATACATATAGTGCCTGAGCTGTGGTAGAGCCTTCCAAGCTCATCTATCGGCCACAGTGAGACACACTGTACTTTGACTCTGGCAGAGTGATGTCATTTGATGCTAGGTGGTGCAGTGGATAGAGCACTGGCCCTAGAGTCAGAAGAACTTGAGTTCAAATCCAGCCTCAGACACATAACACTAGCTGTGTGACACTGGGCAAGTCACTTAACCCCAATTGCCCAGCAAAAAAAATAATACAAGAAGAAAGCACAACAACTAACATATATACATACATATCCATATCTAGATAGATGGATAGATAGATAGATAGAGAAAGGAATAAGGAATGGGCATGTGGTTTCATTGGTAAAGGATGAGGAATCTCTCTCTACCAGACTTGCCCCTCCTTTGCAACATGGAGTCTTAGAGAATTACTCAGGACACTCATTAGAAGGGTAAAGGTTCCACGGCCATTATAAGTTAGAAGTGAGGCTTGAACTCAGCTCTCTCTAACTTAGAAGCCAGCTTTTTTCTGCTTGGTCTAAATGTGTACAGCCTATTTCATTCTGGGCATGCATTTAGAGAGTATAAGTATCTGCAGACTATATAGAAAGTCAATATAAGAGTTTTGGGAGGGAGGGAGGCCACTAGGAGCTAGAGGGGTTGGGGAAGGCTACATACATACAGAAGGTTGTACTTGAGCTGAGTTTTGAAGGCAACCAGGGATTCCAAAAGGAGCAGATTAGGAAGGAAAGCATCCTAGTTTAAATTTTGACTCTCCTTCCTTTAATAATATTTTTGCTGTGTAAATAACAGTTCCCTGGAATGTTCTTTTCACCTCAAGTTGTGTTTTGGGGGAGAAAACCAGTTTAAAATATTAGCAACATCTGCTTATACCGTTTTTGAAAAAAGTCAATTTACTCATTGTTGGATGACCTCATGGGCCGCTTCTTACACTTGCCTCATTTTAAATCTAATAGCCAGCCCATGGATTCAGGAATTACCAGTAAGAATGTGTCCTTAAAGACTGTCCTGCAGCATCTTGAAGCCACCCCAAAGATTGTGCATTATGCCATCCTGGGGATACAGAAGTGGAACAGCAAGCTGAGTTCTAGAAGCCTCAAGTCTCCCTTCTCTCGGTGCCATGTACATGACTTCGTACTGCTCAATATAGACTTGACGCAGAATGTGCAATATGATCTCAACAGGTAAGGAGCACCAAACAGATTCAGTGCCTCACCTGGGTCTGTGATATTCACTATGTTGTTGACTTGCTGGCCTGTAAGTATATCTTTGTGCATCACAGATAGGCACAATTTAAACTTGTCTACACTGTTGAATGAATGACATCTCTCTAAACAAGGCTGTTTAGTACCAGTGATACTCAAAGAAGTGTATTTACTCTTACTTCACGTAAGCCTTGTCTCACTCTGGTGTGTGGTTGTGCGCGCGCTCTCTCTCTCTCTCTCTCTTTCTCCTCTCTTTTCCTCCCCTCTCCTCTTTCCCTCTCTTTCCTCCTCCTCCTCCTCCTTTTCTCTCTCTTTCTTTCTCTTTCTCTTTCTCTCCACCCCTTCTCTTCTCTCTTTCTCCTCATCCTCTCCATCACTCCCTCTCTCCCTGTATGGGGGAAGTAGAAGAGCTTATACAAAGCTTAGTTCCACCTAGATAATTGACCTACATACACATAAAAGGTCCTATCATAAAATGAGTTGCAGGGAAGAGGTTGCCAGATTGTTGGTATCCTGACTTATAAAATCAGATATTGGTAGGAATTGAAGTATAGCAGGGAAAGAAATCAAGAGCTGCCTGATTAGTTTCCATTAGCACGGCAGGTAGGGCAGCTAGGTAGCACAGTGGATAGAGTGCCAGGCCTGGCATCAGGAGAACTCATTTTACCTAGTTCAAATCCAGCCTCACACACTTCCTAGCTGTGTGACCCTGGTCAAGTCACTTCACCTTGTTTGCTTCAGTTTCCTCATCTGTAAAATGAGTTGGAGAAGGAAATGGCAAACCACTCCATTACCTCTGCCAAGAAAACCCCAGATGGGGTCACAGAGTCAGACATAACTGAAATGACTGAATAACAACAGCATGCCAGACAGATCTCTTCATTCCACTCACTGCAGAAATTTCCTTTAGACCCAGCAGATGCCTAGTGCAGTTAACAATCCATAGACATTATTACACGTCATGTTTGGGTTTATGTGGGTAATCGGGAGGTCATCTCATTCTAGGCTGTCCTCTAATCCTTTTTTGTTCCTTTCTTTTTCTGTAATAATCTTGAATGAGGTTATGGAGGCAGAATAAGTTACTGAAGCCCAGATCTGTATTGCTATAATTAACTTTTAGGTACTTTTGTGAAGATGTTGACTTTAACTTGAGAACCAACAGCAGTGGTCTGCTTATTTGCCGATTTAACAACTTCAGTCTCATGAAAAAACACATCCAGGTTGGAGGACAAAAGGACTTCAACGTCAAACCAAAAATCAGTGTAAGTTTTTCAAGTTGGAAAGAGCAAATTCTTTTCTTGGGAGTAAAGACAACAGTGTGCCTGTTAATATCTTTTATATTAAATGGTTGTGTTTTTTAACAAGTGAAACAACAAAAGGGGAAATTTCATTACTATTATGGAGACACTGAGCAGTATTTCCAGTTTCCAGTACAGATTAATATCATTCTATGGCAGATTTTTACTGAGATACAAAATATTTGCTACCAAAAGTCCTTCCTTCTGACACTGCTTTCTTCTCAGTGCCTAGTCCAGGCCCCTTGAGCTTCAGAAAACTGCTATGATGGGGCTGGACTGACTGTGGTAGAAGATTTAAATGTGACATTCTATTCCTTTCCTTCCTGGACAGAAATATGATAAAATATGAAAGAGAGAGAAGGCAGAGATATCCAACTACCATTTTATTTCTGTGTTCTTTACTGAAAAGGAAAGCAGTCTTCAGACTGAGCAAGGTGTAGAACAGAAATAGTTTCACAAGTAATTGAAAACAAAGGTAAATGAGGAGATGGTCAGGGAGTATCTCTCTGCCTTCAGTAATCTTAAATCACTGGATCTCTATGCATTACATCCTTGGGCATTGAAGGAACATGGGGATGTGACTAAGGGACCATTATTGGTGATCTTTGAAAAATCATGGAGAATTAGAGTTAAAGGTACCACACAACTAGGGATCAGCAAATGTTTCCATTTTCAAAAAAAGTGAATTGCCTGATTTGTGGCAAAATTCTAGAATGAATTATTAAAGGGATGATTTATGAACACTTAAAATGGAAAATGATGACCGCTATGAAGCAGTATATGTTCAACAGGAACATGCCAGTCTGATTTCATTCATGTCCTTTTGACAAAGAGGTGACTCTGATAAATTAAGAAAATTCCATAGACATGGCAGTCTGAATTTCAGCAAGGCCTTTGGTGGCATCTCATGATATCCTGATGGATAAGATGGAGAGATGTGGGTTGGAGGATCATAATACTGTTAGATGGATTTAGAATTGGTTTGAGGAGCAGTGTGACCTCTGAGGTCCCACAACTGAGATATAAGGCAGCTTGGGTTATGAAAAGATTACTGCTCTTCAAATCACAAGATCTGCAGTCAGTTCTTTGCTATTACACTTGTGACATTATGGAGATGTCACCTCTCTGAGCCTTAATTGTCTCACCTGTAAAATGGGGGCAATAATATTTCCACTACCTATCTTATGGTGGACAGTTTGTAAACATCATAGTACTCTATCACTGTGAGTCATTACTGGTAGCATTGCCGTGGTGGGATCAGACGTGAACACACATGGTAGAGGGGCACACCTCCCTCTGTACTTGGTCTCTACTTAATAGACCTTGTTGGACATTCTTGCTTGATACACTCTTTGTAGATTACTACCAAATGCAGTACTTTTCGAAAAAACTGCCTTTTTGTTACCTTTCTCCCCTCACCATTCAGCCCACATTAAGTCCCATTCTTCCCCAAACCCAAGAGCACAGAGTTGCCCTGGACAATAAGACTGTGCTACAGTTGGTATCTGGGTAGGTGATCGCGAGAGGAGTATTTCTTCACCTATTCCATCCATTTCATTGAAGGGACATCTGATGTATTTTAAATATTCCTGTTGCATCTGATTACAGCTACCTGAAAGTGTAGCACCCATCTTGCCTCTTCAGTACGTCTGCGCTCCAGACAGTGAGCATACTCTCCTAGCAGCTCCAGCCCAGTTTCTCCTTGAGAAGTTCCTTCAGCATGCCACATACAAACTCTTCCCAAAAGCCATCCATAATTACAGGAGCCCCATCTTGGCCATCGATTGCTACCTGAACGTTGGACCAGAGGTAAAAAACGCTCTCCTTCCATCCTCCCTCCCTATCTCCGTTCCTTCCTTCCTCATGACTGTGAGGTGGCCAGGCATCCTTCCCCAAAGTTCCTATTATCTGGAATGATGTGGACATGAAGATCACTGGAATCTTAGAATTCTCTAGGATGTTACTCCTGTGCCAAAGGTTCTGGGAGGCTACCAAGATGCACCTGAGACTGCTGTTGTGGTACTAACCCACCCCCTACACTATTTCCTTTTCTGTTTTCTGCTTTTCTCCCTTTTTAGTTTTCTTTCTGCCTTCTCTCTTCCTGTGTCCCACTCTCCAGCCTCTCTCAGGCCTTCCGGGGGGACCTTGAGGCTTTGCTTAGTCTCAGCAGCGTCCCTCAAGTAGTAGAGGTGACTGAGCCTTGTGTGGACACTCCCCATGGCTTTCTCATCTAGCATTTGGTAGTTTTGAGGTTTGGGAAACAATCTACATTATGAGTGTGAATCATAGAATGGTAAAGCTGGATGGAGGCTTAGAGATCACGTCTAATCCAAACCTTTCATCTTACAGATGTTATTGAAAAGGTAAAGCCAGAGAGAACTTGGTCAAACTTACACTGAAAGCTAATTGGTGGCAGGGCCAGGACCAGAACCCGGGACACTGGATTTCAGTTCATTAAGTGTTTCATTCCTAGCTGCCAGAGAGAGGCAGGACAGTCTGCAAGCTGGGGAAGCATCCACTAGGAGCCCTGCACTGTGCCTCTTTGCCTCTGGTGCTTCTGCAGAGTTCATCAGCATTCTCCGAAATCCCTTTTCTAGAGTTTGTAAGAGTTTGACATTCCATTCTCATGAGAGTAGAGCAGTCATAACATTTTAGTTCACACTTCTTTCTGTCCATATGAAGCATCCTTCCTTTACTCAGAGTGATGTTTAAATTTTATTTGATAGCTTTCAGATTGTAACGAGGCATTTCATTTTACAATTTCTCAGAAATTGCCTTTTTTGGGGAGGAGGAACGAGGAAGGAAGTTACAGAGGAAAACAATATTTTAACTCTTTGCTTACAGTGATTTAGGTTTTTTTCCTCTCCTGAGTCCTCTATTTCCCTCACACTGGTTATACAGGGTATCCCAAAGGTCTTAGTGTGGTTTTAATCTATTTATTTAATAACTTACAACCACACTAGAAGTCTGGGTCACCTTGTATTACATGAAGCTGAAAATGTCGTGTGTCCCTGTGAATTCCTCTCTTCGAGTCTTTCTTGGGAAGAACCAATCCTGATTTTCTCTACTCTAGAAATTTAGTGCAGGCAATACTGCTCCATGCCATCTGAGCCCAAATGGCATATATATACATACATACATACATACATGTGTGTATACACACACACCTTAGTTATTTTTTGAAAGTAAAATATTCCTCTTTCTTTTGGTGTTTCAGGTGGCCATATGCTATGTGAGCTCAAGACCACACTCCATCAATGTCAACTGTGAAGGGGTATTTTTCAGCGGACTTCTTTTGTACCTCTGTGACTCTTTCGTAGGTGCTGACCTTCTTAAGAAATTTAAGTTCCTCAAAGGTAGGTCTGCTTTAGTACTTTGTAAATTATCTCCTCCCCTGCCTTGTCCCTCTCTCCCCACAGACTAATTTAAAAAGACTAATTCCTTCTTTACAGTTTCTGAAGTGTTTTACATACTTTATCTTATCTGAGTATATCAACTCTGTGAGTTACCAGCTACAAGTGACATTATTCCCATTTTACAGATGAGAAAACTAAGGCTCAGTGAGGGTAAGCAACTTGCACATGGCCACACAACTAAAATATTCAAATCCAAATTTGTTCTGACTTGAAGTTTAGCATTCTTTCCATTTCTCTGTATTTCCTCTTAAGACGAGGCCTTCCTTATAAGAAATATTGATCTTGGTCAGTAACATTTTGTCCAAACCCAGAATGTAAATTGTTTGTTGTTCAGTTATGTTAGACTCTCCATGTCCCCATTTGGGATTTTCTTGGCAAAGATACCAGAGTGGTTTGCCATTTCCTTCTGTGGCTCATTTTACAGATGAAGAAACGGGCAAACAGGGCGAAGTGACTTGCCCAGGGTAACACAGCCTAGTAAATGTCTGAAGCTGGATTTGAACTCATATCTTCCTGACTCCAGGCCCTGCATTTTATCCACTGTTCTATCCTAACGGCCCTGGGATATAAAAAATAATGTGTTTATTATTGAACTGGAGAAGGAAGGACTGTGACAAAAGATAATGTAATTTCTTCCCCACTGTATGGCCCCTACATTAGTTTTAGTACTGAAATAACCTGACTGATCTGACTTCCAGTCCATGCACCACTCTCAGATTGATCTTTCTAAAACCTAGCCACAATCATTACTCTCCATTCAAAAACCTTTGGTGAATGCTGTTGAAAGTAATGGCACGTGATGGAGGATAACTAGCAAGCATAGCATGACCCTCTAAGTCTAGTGCTGGGGATAATAAGGACCAGGATGACCTTAGACTGATGAGGTGAGGTTTAGCTATAGTGGGGAAGAGAGGGAAGATTAAAGAAGAAAGAGGAAGGCCACTTCAATTGTATAGAATTATAATGGTGGATGACAGAGAAAAGGGTCAGATCTTTGGTATGCTTTTTTTCCTCTGCCAAGAAAAACTATCTTTGGAATTAGAAAGATGTAATAAAATAAGTAATGAGAAGATGATACCTAAAATAGCAAGGAGATAAATAAGAGAGCATCTGGTAGCCCTGAATGAGTTCTAGTGACTTAATGCAGATGAACCACAACTTAGGGCACTAAAAGGCTGGCAGGTGTGATGAGGAATCACTATTATTGACCCTTGAAAGATCATGGAGAATTAGAGAGGTACTACAAGTTTAGACAAGGGCAAATGTCCTGAGTTTCCAAAAGGGGGAAGGGAATGGAGCCTGCAAATAGTAAGCCAGTGAGCTTGACTTTGGTTCCTAGAAAAGTTCTAGAGTTATTATTAGAGGGATGGTTAGTGAACATTTAAAAAAGGAAAGCATAATCACAAAGAGTCAACATGGCTTCATCAAGAATAGGTTATGTCAGACTAACTTTTGATGAAGTTATTTAGATAAAGGCAGTAGTGTAGATGTTGTTTACCTAGATTTTAACAATATACTTGCTAAAGTCATTTACAGTTCTTCTGGAAAACATGAAAAAATGAGAGCAAGTACACTTACGTAGATTTGGGACTGTTTCAATGCTGGATCTAAAGAAGTCATTAATAGATAAAGCGTAACCAGCCCAAGACCAAATACAGATTCTGGAGACAGGCTTCCAAGCTGACATTTATTAGTGACTTGGATAGAAACATAAATGGCACAGTTACCAGATTCACAGGTCACACAAAGCTAAAAGGGATAGCAACATCTGGGACATGAGAGGGAAGATTCAAAAAAGATTTTGACAAGCTTGAATGAATCTAATAAGATTAAATTTAGTAGAAATCATCTTACACTTAGGTTAAAAAAAATCATCTTTACAACTTGAAGATAGAAGATACATCTGTACCACAGTTTATCTGAAAAATGCCTGATGGTTTTTATGGATTACAAATTCTATATGAGTCATCAGGATGGTAAGGCACCTAGGAGAATTAGTTTAATCTTAGAGACATAAAGTAAGGAGATGCTGGTCCTGCTGTGCTCTGCCCACGTGAGTGTTGTGTTCTGTTCTGGGCACCACATTTGAGGAAGACATGGAAAAGCTAGAAATTGGCCAGAGGCGGGCAGCCAGGATGGTTCACCTCAAGTTTGTGCCACATGCAAATCACTTGAAAGAACCTTGGGAATATTTAGCTGGGAGAAACTTGGGGCATATTATGCGTTCCCTCTTCAGAAAACTTTTGGTGACTTAGCAGGTATGTCAGGTGGCACAGGAAGTAAACAGAACAGAATAAGGAGCAGCGGGCGGGGTTTGCTCTTTTCTTTGCACCCTCCCTGTACTTTGTGTACCCTTCATATGGCACTTACAATATTTTACATTATATCATAGTAAATTTTTGTACTTGTCGTATCCTCCTGCTATATGATAAGCTTATTTCTCTTCGGATCCCAGTACTTAGCACAGTGTCTTTCCATACGGTGTGAGTGCAACAATTAATTTAAGTTGCCAGTTATGGCCATAACTTCAGTGAATGCTACTGCTTTTAGAAAAAAAAAAAGTCATATTGACTCCCTAGGATTCTTAAATCTGCTAAGTAAATTTAAGAGAAATGAGACTGGCACACTGCCATACAGAAATCCACCGGTAATTCTTTTTTAATACTGTTATTGTAATATAGTAAAGCATAGGTGCCAGGTGTTCAGTGCATACAGTTAAGCGTTGAATAAACATTTATTGCTTGCCAGGGCAACTAGGTGGTGCAGTGAATAGAACGCTGGACCTGGAGTCAGAAAGACCCGAGTTCAAATCTAGTCTCAGATGTTTATTAGCAGTGTGACCCTGGGCCAGTCACTTAACCCCAGTTTGCCTCAGTTTCCTCATCTGTAAAATGAGCTGGAGGAGGAGATGGCAAGCCACTTGAGTATCTTTGCCAAGAAAACCCCAAATGGGTTTCAGACAGGACTGAAAGGACTAACAACAAAACATTTGTTACGTGCTACATTTCACTGCCTTTATACTGTTCAGTCATGCTTTTGCTTCAGTATCATGTGTAACCCCAAAATGGCTTCAAGGAAGCAGGAAATAAGAATGTAAATATGCATAGTATGACCGGGTCAAATGTTACTGAATTTCCTTAATAACACACGATGGTTAGCAGCCTAAGTAATCTTGTCAGTGGAGAGAAATACTTAAAGCCATGAGCTAATGGTTCTGCAGTTCCAGGGAGGAAGTGAGGTGCTTTAAAAGAGGCCTGTTGATTCAAATACCTGCTGTCTAACATCAAGTTTCTACCTTTCCTTGAAGGTGCTACCTTGTGTGTCATCTGCCAAGATAGAAGTTCTTTACGGCAAACAATTGTCCGCTTAGAACTAGAAGACGAATGGCAGTTCCGACTTAGGGACGAATTTCAAACAGCCAACAGCAGCGAGGACAAGCCTCTCTACTTTCTTACTGGACGCCATGTCTGAGCGAGAGAAGGACCAGAATTGAGGTGTGGGAGGGAGGAGGCAGATGATCAAGTGGGATTTCTTTTTCTTTCTTAAGTACAATCACTGTGGAGCAAAGTGCAACTGTTGTGACTTTAGGATGCCCTCCAAAGACCCACACACACCTGACCTGGATACCCCAAGGGCATCAATGCCACTTCAGCTCCAATACCAGGACCTGGGATTTTAGGGTGACTCCACCCTAGACAGTTATGCAAACTACTTAGAAAACGGCCTGCCAGCTGTGACTGAAGTGACACACTTTGGACAATGAAGAGCTTGAGGCTCTCAGAGTCGTTTTGTTTTGTTGTTTTTTTGAGGGGTGTTTTGTTTCATTTTTACCTATCTGTGCTAGGAGAAAAAAAAATTGATTTTCAGCATCAGCTAGCCTGAATGTGTTACATGAGACTCACACCAGGGGTGTGATGCAGTGAAGATTAACGTCCGAGGCCTGAATCCTCAGTTTCTCTTCAAATCTGTACTTTGGTACAGTATTACTCAGGGGTTTGAAATGACAGAATGTAGAAGATACTTGTATTTAAAAAAAAAAAAGTAGCATTTGTTCTCTCTGTGCAGTGTTAGTTTTAAGATTTGTAATTTTATATGTATGAAACTTTTGGCAAAATTTCCACAGGAGTTAAAAGTTTACTACTTAAACCTGAACAAATAAGGCAGTAAATGCAGAGCAGGCGTCCTGTGCACGCCCATTTGTGCAGCTTCTACTAATCTCGTTGCTTCGCTCGTCCCATTGGCTTTAAATTTTCAGAATCCTTTGCACGTTGCATTAGCATGGATCTATAACAAGCTGTTTGGTTTGACAGTGATACTACTTCCTGTGCAAAGAGTAACCTGAGAATTTTTTGGCGTCATTGAGAGACTTCAGCTTCCCCATTCATCCTCTTCTCCCCCTCTCCGCCCCCATCCCAAACTGCTGTCCTTCATGGTTTGAGTTTCTGTATAGTTGGGCACCAGCAAAACCAATTTTACTTGACTTTGATTTCTTATGAAATGTCATGTTTTAGTTTTGTACATAGCGGAGCCAGTGCAATTTTGTTTCTTCTCACATCCTCATACATAGCAAGACTTAAAGACAGGTTTGATTGAATGTATCAACTTTATGCTAAATGGAAACTACTCCCTCACTCCCCCCTGCACCCCCAACTACAAATACCAAAGCAGAATGGCTGTTGGGGAGCCAGGATTCAGGCAGGAGGAGAGGGCAGCAGAACGGCTAAGTCTGCTACCCCTTTTCTCCAGCTCACAGAAAACCCCACTTCCATGGAAGCAGTAACCCCAAATGGCTTTGTTCTTGATGTGGAAATGAATGCTTTATTTTTAAAAAAAAAAAATCCAATTTGCTCAGGTAGTGGTGAGATATGTCTGTTATCTACATAAAGATTTCCGCAGTTCTTCAGATTCCTGAGTCATCCAATTATCCATTTCTGGGTTCTAGAACAAAGTCTTGGGGGTTAGTTAATAGTTCTTAAGCCAAGGTGCTGTGGAAAATAAAGACTTCTCATTTTACAGAATCAGTTTGGATTCAATCTCTCAGAACACCCAGTTGCTACTTTGTCCTGCACACATTTTTTGCTGTTTGTAAAGTGATAAAAGTAAAAGTGGCAATCTTCCTTTGAACACACCGTTTGTAAATGGCTATCTCCCCTTAATGAACCCTTGATCCCTGACCTGAAACTACTGAGAAGGGCCTGCTACAACTGCATTTACTTAGAACAAATAGTGTTAATCAAGCAGCTTTATTACTTGTGAGAAAGAGATGTTTACATCACAAAACAAAATGTATTTGATTGAAGCCTGAGGAAAAATAGTTTGCAGATCTTTGGGGTTTAATAGAGCTAACTGCAATGCTGCAAATGTAGCACATTTCAAATGAACAATTCTTTTTAAACATTTGTTTTTAACTGTCCTTGAAAGAGGACCTGCCTTATATATGCTTAAAAGATACACCTTAATTTGTGCATGGCAGAATTTCTGATATAAAGGTACGTTCTGAAGAGTTTTCAGTGTAGATATGAATGTATTTCAAAAGTTCCAGTTTTGCTGGCAGGGCTCGATGCTGACCAAATCAAGTTAAGCTGTTGTTGTGCAATACTGCATTTCGAATATTACCTTATTTTTACTTTAGGGTAAAGTAAGAAACCATTAGAAATAGTCTTACCTGGGAAGAACCTCTCATGGTTTCTTCTGGCTCCAAGATCTTAGGACATTTTCCAGAGTTATTACTGTACATGTAGGACTCCTTAAATGTTTCTAATATGGGCTGAAAAGTCCAAGCAAATAATCGCAGCCCTGTAGCGTCGCCAGAATAAAACCAAAAATCAAACCATCCCAAGAGGAGAATGCCCTTACACATCCAACTTGGCCTACCTTCCCTTTCCAAAAATTTTAAGCTTTTGAGCCTTTAAAAATTTTTTTTAAATGTCCTATTATCATTAGAATTGTTTAGTGTTAGATCTTAGTAGATTAGGGAGAAAATTGCACAAGCACAGGACACCATGATCTTATCAGCTATGGTTTGGGTTGCTTGGTGTGTTTAGCTGTAAGCCTTGCCGTCACTGAGAACACTGATGTGGTATGAATGTATTAAATAGGCCAGCAAATAATACTTTACCTGTAGACATGTTAAATCTCGGCATGTTTGACAGTTCACAGGTTAATACTGAATGTAAACTAAAAAATCAGAATGAGAATCATTGTATTCAGTTTTTTTCTGTAATTTATGTAATTGCTTTCTGATTTTTTTTTCTTTTGGAAAGGGGGGCACCTGTGTTACTTTATTACTGTAAAATTTTCTTAACCAAAACTTGGTGAATTTCACTAGTCAGTCTACCTCACATTTTATTGTTTATGATTTTAAATTGTCTGACGTTGTGCCTACAGTATGTTTATAATGTGCTTTCATTTAATTTGGTGAATGTATTAAATTTTCCTTTAATAAGATGTTGCATTTTCTTTAAATTATAAGGCCCCCAGAATAAGTTAATCAGAAAAAAAATCTATTTTTACTTTTACCACAAAGATTGAATGCATTGTCTGAAGGAAAGAGAACCACCCTTTATGTAATTCTGCTAAATTTTTAGAACAAAGGGTTTTTATATATATAAAAGCACTGGTATGTGTGTAATTCTGGCTCAACATAACGAATTTAAATACTGTCAACTCTGAGAAGTGATGATTCTAATTTAATAGCCCAGTAGGTCTCTGCCAAGGTTTATTATATATCCATGTCCATTTGCGTATTTGAATAACTCCACACATATAGATGACGAAGCCAAAATTTATTATATAGATTAGGGAAATTCCAAGTCTGCCTTCTGAGGCCCCTTGTCATAAGGAAAAGTTAGTGTCTGTCACGGCCCCGTTGAGGCTGAATCCCAGGCTGAATCAAACATGGGTGGATTTATCGATAGATTTCTGTAACTTTCAAATATGAAGGCACACATTCTCAACTCTGGCATGGGAGAAAAAAAAACTTTCAGGGCATCAATTTTCTGACTGGGTAAGACAATGGTAGTTTTTGGTTTTTTCCATAGGTTGCATTGCAGGTGAGTGTTCTTTTCTAAGAGTCTTAATCATTTATCATTTCTGGTCTTGGCCTTTGCTTTAGCTCTAAAAGGTCAAATAAGGTCAGTCGTTTTGGAACGTGTGATTTTACTGAAGGATGGCAAAGTTTTGTATTTAACTAGAATTAGTAATCCACTCTAGATTAGCTACAAATCTGTCCAGATTTTGCCTAGGTACCTTTGGTCCTACCCTACCCACTTAACTTTATAACCATGGGCATCTGCTTTTTCACCAGAGGCATTGTTCTGAGGACAAAGGAATTATCTTCTATTTAGGTGTACATAGTGAAAGTTGGGGGTTATAGAAAAAGAGCCCATTTAGACTTCTAGGGTGAGTGGAAAAACAGCCAAGAGACTGTGAATTACAGGCACAAGAGAAATGCCCACAATATTCTAATTCCTCAGCCTAACAAATGCCTAGCTTCCCCGGCCCTACCTACCAACCTAGAGTCACTGGGTGGGGTAGTAGTTGTGCCCAAGTCACTGGAAAAGGCCTAGGATGATAAGCAGTGAGGCAAGTCAGAGCACACATTTATACAGTAAAGTGCATTTTCCAAATGAGCCTGTGATTCTCCATTTGGAGGTAACTGAATTGTTTTATCCAGTCACCTAATTAGCTAAGTGGTGCAGCTGCAACACACACTCCAGTCTTCTGACTCCTGCCTGATCATGTTGTAACATTGGCTGTAGGTACTTATTTGCATCAACATGGTACTATGAGTCATTTTCATGAAAGTGGAAACCACGCAAACTTACTCCACTCAGGGATCCTTTAAGGTGATACTTGACTTGAGTACGTACTGCCTAGTCTTCTGGCCCATATGGGATTGAAGCATATATGATGTTGGCTTAACACGATGTTCTAGGCACAAATGCATATTTTATATAAAACAAATTTCAGTCTGTATTTAAATGGATATGATTCCCAGCTAGTGAGGTCATTAAGCCAAAGAAGGAGTAATTTTTCCCCATAAACTCACTGATCCTCCAGGAATCACTTAAAAGGGTCTTGTCTCCTAAATATCTTTACTTCATCCCTATACCTTAAGACCCTTAGAAGATGAATGTGTTTCATCATTCTGTGAGGCAGCTATGTGGCACAGTGAAGTCCTGAGTTCAAGTCCAGCCTCGGATACTGACTGACTGGGTAACTCTGGGCAAGTCATAACCTCTCCATCCCCTAATTTCTTTTCTGTAAAATGAAGATATATGAGGATAAAATGAGACAATATTCGTGAAGCCCTTTGCAGACCTTAAAGTGCTATATAAATGCTAGCTATTACCATTCCTGACCTCTCTCTCCATTCATTGAACAAGTGTTTGATTACCTACTACATTCAAGGAATTAAGAAGAGTGCTTATTCTATTAGTTTACTTCAACAGGAACATAATAATAGTTGGTATTTATATGCTCTTTGAGGTTTACAAAGTTTTTCACATACTTTTCTCTCATGGGACTCGACTACCTTGTGAGGTATAGTACAAGCATCATCCCAATTTTACAGAAGAGGAAAGGGTGGCTTAGAAAGATAAGGTATCAGAGCCACAGAGACAACTAAAAAAGCAGGAATGAAAATACATTAAGACACAAATATCTTAGGGAGTTCAAAAGAGGCAGAGAACCCTTCCAGTTAAGTGACATCAGGAAGTTGCACTGACAAGCATTTGAGCCGTGCCTTAAAGGGTGATTAGGATACACTTTAGATGAAGGGACAGTGAGCAAAAAAAAAGGTCAGGAAAGCAAGTGAGGCAT